GCCGACACCTCCTCATCACTCCACCGCTCCCATGTTTTTTTTTGTGTTGCCATAAGTTATTCTCTCTCCGTTGGTGCGCGGGGCTAATGCTAATAATGCTAATGCCAGCAAATACAATGGCGGCTTCAAAAAACTTTTCCGAGTTTTACGGGGCGTGGTTTGCAATTCGCCCGGCCAATCAGAAATTGGAAATTTTTTCTCCTCAGGATAGTACCTGCTCTCTAGCAGGCACTAAAAATGGGGGTAAAAGTTCTCATGAACTAAGTTCTCTTTTTGGTGTGAACGCAAAATCCCAGGAACTATCGGAACTAAACGGGAAAAGTACGGGGAAAAGTACTGCGGTGTGAAAGCGCCCATTGTTACTATCTGAGTCTTTTTCTATTGATGTTATGTCCCAGAGATGCGTGTGAGGTTCACTAACCAGGCTGCTGATGCCACCTTTGACTGTGTGTGAGCTATTTACGTTGTATGGTCTTTTAATTAGTTTGTTTATATTCTCTATGCCCCTCTTGTCTTTGAACCTTTGTCCTTCCAGGGAAAGTTTGTTTGCTAAACACTCTTTATTGCTCTTTATCGCCTGGTAACCATAAATTAACACAAATGGATGCGGAGGGTTTGAGTGGGTGGATATTACTATGTTTATCTATGCATTATACACCAAATTAAATTGTGAACTCTACAATCTAAATGGCAAAAGATACTGTTTTCAGCCTATGAAATATGGAGATTTCTTGCTTTTCTCGGTTTTATATCATATAAAACAATCACCTTGTACTTTGGAAGACAAAAATTGATATTTTTTCGAAATTGTTCTCTTTTTTTATCAGCTTGATTCATCCATAATTAGTGTTGTTTTTAAGTATTGTTGGATGTAGCTGTACATACATCCCTCCGTTGTTGCCTTCTGCCCATCAAATGTAACCCATACATATACGATAATACTTTAATGGTCAGATCAAGTCTGACATTTGACTCGCAGCAGCTCCATGTGTAACATCAACATAGACAAATATCAAGACGCAATACATGAAAAACAAACAACAAACATTTAACATAACAACACAATCAGTAACAGCACAAGACCCTTTAGCGTTTATTATTATATATGTATGTTTTCTGTGTCTCCTATTTTACACTCTACCTTCTCTTACTATGTTTATGTATGCACAATTATAGACCAAAGGAAATTGTGAAATCTACAATCTAATTGGCAAAACATGCTGTTTGCAGCCTATGAAATATTTCTTGTTTTTCTCTGTTTTATATAATATAAAACTGATTTAAAGACATTACCATGTACTTTGGGAAACTACAAATCTTTATCAGCAGATTCATCATGTTTTTTTTAAGTATTGTTGGATGTAGCTGTACTTAAATCCCTCTGTTGTTGCCTTCTGCCCAGACATCTCATTTTAACCCTTACATATATGAATGTTGTCTCTCAGCAGCGGGAGAGGTTTCTGCGGCACAGTGACACCGGCCCCGTGGGGGAGTGGCCCTCTCCAGACTCCACCATCTCACCCTCTGGATCCACCAGGGAGGGCAGCAACAGGCCGAGAGCGTGGAGCGTCCGCACCTTCCAGGACCTCCTGCCTCCTCTGCCGCAGCTGCACAAGAAGTGGTGCAGCTGGAACTCCGGCAGCCCCTTCACCAAGCTGGTGGACAGCGTGAGTACACAACAACTATTTTCATATTACAACAGAGCTGGTCAGAGTTAGATTCAGTTTATTACACCTACTTAATTTGTTTCTAAGGCTTCCCCGTCTTATTCAATCTGTCAACGGTTGTTTTTCTCTTAGTCAACTTTAATTTCTATAGTCAATTTTGTAATGCTTTTTCAGGCTGAATTACTTATTCAATTACACTTTTTGGCTGATAAAAACCTTATTAGTCTACTTTAGTATAGATGGGTGAAACTAATTGGAATTAATATAATAAAAACAAGAGATCCCTTATCCTCAACTCTGACCTCTTAGTGTTCCAAATTGCAACACACACTGTCTTTTGACCTCTCTTTCAGACAGACATGCAGTTTCTTTGGTTTAATAGATGCTTTTCTATTTGATAACATTCAATCGAGCTTAATAATGTTTCCTTCACTCTCTTTATGTCTTTATTTTAGTTTTGAATCCTGACCAGTGTGAGGATTATAGATATCAAATCTTTAGTGTTTATTTTTACACCCATGCTTTTCTTCACGTTCATTCAATTCATGAATCTCCTACCATCCCAGACTCCAACCGGTTTGGCAGCGGACGGCAGGAGGATCTTCTCTGACATTCACCTGGACTCTAAAGCCGACAGCAGCTCCATCTCTGACTCCACCCTGAGCAACGCCTCCTTCCCGCTGTCGCTGCCCGCTCAGAGGCAGCGGCGCCTCAACTCCACCAGCAACCTGCGGCGCTCTCGCTTCACCGGGCCCTGTTTCGGCCTCCTCTCCGGGACACAAGAGCCAACGAAGCCCTCTGTTGTTGTGGTTCCTCCAACACAAGGTTCCCCGTCTGAACCCAGCCCTGCTTCCTCCACTCAGAGTCAGACAGAGAGCGTGAAGAGGCGCGATTTCCCAGGCGAGAACGACCACATCAGCGTTCAGGTGTTCGCCATCTCCGAGGAGGAGGACCGGCAGCCTCTGGTCTCAGCCGAGCACCTGAACCAGACCTCTGGACCTCTGAATGGGGTGGTGAAGGGGACTTATGAGGGGAAGGGGCCCTCCAGCCTCAGCCCTCAGAGGGTCAGAGCAGAATGGAGGCCGTGGGGGAGCCAGGCATCCGGAGGGGTCGCTCCACTATCTCCCAACTCGAGCAAAATCAACGACAGCCCGCCGTCCTTCACTCAGTCCACAGTGCCGTGCAGTGTGAACAACCAGATGTGATGACTGGTAAAAAAAAGAGCAGGGACTCTGAACTCTGTTAGTGAAACATATATAACCTACTTCTTTATATTCCTGAAAAATCTACAAAATGATTACTACGTATACTGTAGCCTCCTGCCGGCAAATATAGTCATCTCACGCTTTCTATTTTTATAAGTTGTACAAAGATGGAATATTATGCTGCTTACTGTACCAAGGCAATGACTGCTGTGGTATTTCGTACGGTGGCCGACAGGTGCAAAATATTTCCATTAAGAGAAAGCTTCTGCAGCTTCAGAAACTATGCAAATATTAAAACACATGCAAATGAGGTTAATGTTCACCAAACTTGACAACCCGTGCGCTGCGTTTACTAAAAGCGCTGCATAAACGAAACACTGCAAATACAAAACACAACGGAAACAGGGACACTGAAAAGTGACGCACACAGCTGGAGCACTTGTTATCCTGTCACTGTTGGCAGAGTTTCATTATTGTTAGTGTTTTGTCAGTATATTTGAAGTTAGCTACGTTAGCAAGCTAGCTTACAGCAGATCAGAATTAATCACATTTTGTTAAAATAAGCCGATTAAACTTACATTTGAATTGAGTATACAGTGACAGTTGGCAGACTTTATAATCCTGAACGTCAATAAGCGCTCCGGTCCCAGCTGTGTGCGTCACTTTTTATTGTCCCCATTTCCGATGTGTTTAAGCTTCACACAGCGTGTCGCTTTCAGCATATTTTGTCAAGTTGGTGAAGATGTTTCGTCGTTTACATATGTTAATGCACATTAGTGTTTTTATATTTGCATCGTGTTCTGAAACTGCAGCGTGTTTTTATTATTGCAAATGTTTAATGTCATTGTAGCGCGTTTGCACCTCTCGGACACCGTAATTATGTGTTAAAAAAAAGATGCAAACATGAACAAAAAAAGTATTTCCTGAGTGAGTTTATACCCAGATTTATTAACCGGTTTGATATTATTCAGTGAGTTATAAGACTCCAAACATTGCACTTTGTATTCAGTAGCTCATTCATTGTGAGCCTTTCTGCTTTTCCTTTAATTTGGTATCTTTAAGCGGTTATCATTTTTAGCCCAAGCTAACAAACGCTTATACAATGCCCTATTACCCTGAAGTGTTTTGCATACATTAATATGAATGTTGCAACAGTGTATGCATACTGTATGTACTTTTAAGGCTTATACTGGATTATAAAAGGGAAATCAGAATATAATAAAAGCATCTAGAGTACTAATATTCACTATGATGTAGTATAAAGAGAGAACTAGAGAGCACAATAGTATTTAAAAGTTATTAATTAATGTAAAGTTTTAATAAAGGCTATGTCATTCACATGTTGTGTCCTTGATCTGAAGATGTGTTTTTTTTTTTATAATTCAGCACCTTAGTTAAGGATCTAAGAAGCCCAACACTCAGTTTGTTTTCAGCAAAGGAGGAAATATAAATGCAAAGAAAGCAATTCAAAAAGGGGACATCATTTCAGTAACATCAGGGAAACCAGCCTTTAAAGGTCACCTATTATGCAAAACCCTCTTCTTCATGTCTCTTCTTCATCAACATGTGTCCCCTCTTCTTCATGTCTCTTCTACATCAACATGTGTCCCCTCTTCTTCATGTCTCTTCTACATCACCATGTGTCCCCTCTGTGTAAAGAGACTCTGAAAGTTTCAGGAACAAAGATTCTCTCTCTTTTTGTCCTGATCCATTTCTATAAAAACCTGTCTGAAAATGAGCTGATCAGATTTTGGCCACTTTATGATGTCATAACGATGTATTGTCTTGTGTAACCATTAGCCAATCAGCAACCAAGGTAACCCCCCCCCCACCTTATCACCTGAATCTCCTCCTAGAGCGCCATTGTGTTCTTTTTAACCAAATATCTCTCAGAGGGGCGTGGGGAGGGGCTCCTTATTTTCATCTAAAGTAACAGACAGAGAATCAGCACTTTTGAAACAGGGCTGAAACAGAGGGGATTATGGGATGCTGCAATGATCTGGTGTTTCAGCCAATCAGAGACATGTTCTGTCTATATCTGAGAGCTGTGATATATTGATGAAAAACAGTGTAATAGGGGACCTTTAAAGTGTGAACATTATTAAGCAGAGGAGAGCTCAAACACCCAGAATAAAGAAAGCACAGACAGCAGTCTTTTATTTTGTTAGGATAAACAGGCAAATCATATCCATTTCAAATACAACTTTAGCATTGCTAATACAACAAACCGGGTAAAGAAGCAAACCTCACACATGTTCTTAATGTGATATAGTGATTTAACTAGAACGTGATTTTATTCTAACTTTTCGAAATAGTGCAGTGCATACCGAGGCATCAGGTATGCACTGACGCATGTTCAGTCTCCCTTATTTCCCAGGAGATGTGATGAGGTAGAGTGAGACCTGCCTCCACACCGAGACTTTTGCACACGGAGTGAGTCAATATTTGCCTCGGTGTACAACATGCCCCCCCACAGCCCACCCCAGGAGGCTGCAAAGCGCGCCTCCAAAGCCTCTTTATTACCAATTCCTGATTGGAGCAGCTCGGCACTGTTGTTGGCTTAGAGAGAGCCCAGATCCCCGCTAGGGAATCATTACAATTCAGCCACTCTGTCGTGCGATCGAAGGCTGAAGGCCTGAGCCGCTGAGGAATGCCAGTGTGAAAAAAAAACAACAACAAGAAGAAACACCTTGCTAACAGGAACTGACACCAACACTTGCAAAGGAAACAGGAAGCGTTGCATTCCCAAAACAACTAATACTGCATCCATATTCACAAATGCATATTATCTTAACTAGGCTAATACAAAAGGTTATATGTATCTTATTCTTGATGTTGTGCATCTTATTCTGATCAGATATAATGATCCTGGAAGACAGCTCCTAAATGATTTCTGGTTCATTTGTATGAGGAGAAGTTATGTGCAAATGCCAGTGTGGACCCACCATGACCGCGGGGGGGGGGGGCAAAAACAACAACAACAACAAGAAGAACCACCTAAAGCACCTTGCTAACAGGAACCGACACCAACACTCGCAAAGGAAACAGGAAGCGCTGCATTCCCAAAACAACAAATACTGCATCCATATTGACTCTGGCTAATGTTACTTATACTGTACTGTATACTCACAAATGCATATTATCTTAACTAGGCTATTAAACGTTCTTAAAAAAAGGTCATATTTCTCTTATTCTTGATGTTGTGCATCTTATTCTGGACTAACCCTTCATATGATCAGATATCATGATCCTGGAAGACAGTTCTTATATGATTTCTGGTTCATTTGTATGAGAGAAGTTATGTGCAAATGTCCTCATAGTTGTACAATATAAACACATTTAGAAAACATATTTAGTGCGTATTCTCCTAAATCAACTAACGGCCTGAGCTAAGGCCCGCTCTTAACATTTCCTACACACCGAAAGTGGTCCTAAATAGAAAGAAAACCAAGATTACAACTTCATCCTCATATTTCAACATGTATAAGGCCTCTTGAAACTAATGTCCGGATGTTCCTATGTATCTCGGCAAAATCAAAGTCAGATTTGTTCTGTTACAGTAGACATTATACTATATCTGCAGCTTTGCATGATAGCGACTTTGACACTTGTGATGATAGTCATAAAGAGAGGTCATCAGATTCATCATTAACTTGGTGTACCCGGAGTTAAAGAGGCCCTGTTATGCTTTCAGGTGTTTTCCCTTTCCTTTAGTGTGGTATATAGGTTTTTGTGACATCACTCTATAACACTCGTGCTCCTATTGGCTAGCGCTCCAACACATTTTCCGTGATAGACTAAGGGGCGGGACATCTCATAACGGTTGACCAATCACAACAGAGCCGGCCAGCTAACCAATCGGAGCAGACTGGGCTCTGGTTTCAGACAGAGGGTGAAAAGAGGTGCTGCTTTTCAACAATAAAAGCACATTTTCACAAATTACAGATAATGAAACCTAAGAATTAGCATAATAGGGCACCTTTAAAAACAACAACAACAACAACAGCAGCTTTGTGAACCTGAGGAACGAGAGAAAATCTGAATAAACGTCTTTCGAAATTCTTGCGAAGTAAGCTAGAAATCTATCATTTAAACACAAATGACAACTGTTGTGTTTGTATTGGCACGTTTCTGCTGTAAAACTCTCCTCTACGGGTGGCCCACTACCTCTAAAAGCAACGTCCCCCGGCAGCATATTTCGTTTCCTGGAGTGCAACCACCTATTAGTAACTGCATTTAATCACAGCTAAGCTCTTACTACAAGGCTGGGAGAAAGCGTCCCTGTTACACTACATGAATCACCTTGGAGATGATTATCCAGAGCAAAGCATACAAAGGAGCCCCCCCCCCCTGCCCTCTGACAGCGTTACAACACATTGATCCCCTTCCCAATCCTCTACAAATATCACATGAGATTATAAATCTACTCTAGTATGTATGCAGGGCTTCGACGTGGCTTTTTGCCCGAGTCTGGGAACACAGTAATGCCTGGAGAAACAGGAAAAGTCCCAGACGTTTAGAATATAATTCAAAACTAGGATCTTTTTTTCACCTAAAATGATAAAACTAGTATCATCAGCATTATATAGGAAGCCCTGGATTCTTAACTCAGCATGCCATAGACTGAAAACATGTCACAAAGTAAATATACATCAGGTGTTTTAAGCCTTAAGGCTACAGGAGACATAACATGCTAACATACATGTGCGTACATACAGTAAATGGCCTTATTCCATTCAGATTGCCTCACTCGCTCTTAATCTGAGAAAACATTTTGACACAAGGCTGGAGGACAGAACAGGAAGTAGAAATAAATTACTCTAACAGTTGGTGGTTAATTGAAGATGCATTATCCACGGGTAAAAGTGATCTGTATATAAATGGTGGCTGTTAAAAAATATTTCTAGTAAACATCAATGTTATTGTGCAAAGTAATTATTTCACACTGGTCACTATTACTAATGGATACTGATTGTAATTTCTGCATTAAGGTTATTATTGCATAATATCTGGAAGGCAATAGGATACAATGGAGAAAAATAAAACGTCTATGAGATGCTCCGTTATCTACATTTGACACTTTAGGAGAAACAGACCGCTCCGCTGCTTCAGCTCTTGAAACGCGTCTGCTCACAAATGTGGTTGAATTTCCTGGAATTTAAATAAAGAGAAAAGACAAACACATCATTTAGTGCTGTGTTTATAAAGACAACGATATACAATGACAAAAAAAAGCATCTTATTTAGGTTTAAAACAGCAGACAGGAGAGAAATATAGGACCACGTTTATACAATAACTCCCTCTAGTGGTTAGAGGAGTGAACTACATTGGGTGGCTGTCCCCCAGTGTTTAACATCAGATTTTAGCCTGAACTTTTCCAAACGTATGACCTAAAAACCTACAAGAAAAATGTTTTTAAATCAATGATTTCCATCCTATCCAGCTGGTTTGAAGAACAGGTGTGGCTTTTCATAATAAATATCCAAAGGTCTCATAAAAATATCATAAATAAGCATGTTAAAGGTAGGGTAGGTAAGAATGGAGAAACCAGCTCGAGTGCGCTAGAATTTGAAAATACGCAGCCCGAAAAAAATCTGCCCCTTCCTTCAGACTTCCTTACAGAGCCCCTCCTCCAACACACGCGAACGCGCACATGACCAATGAGGGCACGAGATAAGTTTGTGTACGAGATGGAAGGCTGACAGGCAGGTAGGCCATCCAGTTATTTTAGCCGGGCCGGCTCAGATGATTGGTCGTGCTTTTTACAGCGCCACGGCTTCCACAGATGACATTTTTTAATGTATTTATTGTCAAAGCATTTCATATATTCATTGCTATCGGGATGTTAAGAGCATTCCATGGAATATAACAAAAAGTGTATCTGAAATAAATTACATACCCCACCTTTAATGAGTTTATATGGTGCTTTCTATTATTATTATGAAAACACTTACGTTGCATGATGCGCCTTCACCTGCGTGCGACAGTTGCGTCCCCAGTAACAGTCGGGACGAGATGTAACAGCAGCTGCAGAAGAACATCAAATACAGTTATTTCCTAGGTATTTATTATAAATCCATAAGGGTAATATTCTATTTACGTGCATATAGTCTATTTGTATTTTTGTATTTTTATTATATAACTGTGTCACATTGTTGGAGGAGCTCGGGTCAGAAGATTTTCATTGCCATTTCTACACTGTAGCTTATGTGCATATGACATTAAAACCTTTTCAAGGTCTCCTATCATGCTATTTTTAGGTATATATTATGGGTCTCAGATATATACAAATATATAAAAACATGTCTATGATGTGTTTTGCTCAAAATATCAAACAGATCATGCATTTTAGACATCCCTCATATCCCTCTGTTCCAGCCCTGTTAGAGAAACGCTGATT